CCCCAAAAAACCACAACCTTCTTGTCTGACAGGTTTTTTCCCTCCTGGACACAACGAGAAAGCTCCAGTTTAAAAGAAGAGCTCATTATTGGGTCTGTTCTATTCTCTTTGCCTTTAGAGTTTTGCATTGAAAGTATTTAATTCCCCCCCCCCTTTTTTTTTTTTTTTAATTTAATGGCCTCTCCGTTAAGAGGGAGACATAAATATAGCTGAAGAGGAATCTGCTGCCACTGCTTCCCTTCAGAGGGATTAAATTTGACTGAAAAGGGACTTTTCCAAAGCAAAAAGGATTGTCCTGCATTTGAGAGGGATCTGAATATAAGTGAAGGAGAGATTGACAGCAGTCAGAAGCAGAGGCCAGGGGCTTCTGTTAGGGAACGCAAAAGCGTTTTTTTTAATTAATTTTTTTAAAAAAGGAGGTCCCTTTTCTAGCACCTGGTGCTTCTCTCAGGGTGTTCGCAGAAAACCAAGGGCCAGGTTGAGAGCAGCTGCAATGCAACTGGCTGGCGAGGGGTGAAGGGCACACACCCCTTCTCTCGTGTGTCTGCAACATCCACTGGACCCAACACGACCCATTCTTTGTACCTCAAAAGGGGCACCATGGAAGGAACGGCAACAGCTCCTGCCCCATGCTGGAGTGGGGGAGGAGGCAGCAGTAGCCGAACGCGGAGGAAACGCCGTTGCTCACGGCGGGACCGTGAGAGCCGCTGCACTCGCCGCCGGGGAGGTCGGACTGGGGATGCTTCCCATCGCGGTGTCTTGTCTTCTTCGTCTTCAGGGTCAGACAGTGAAGGCCCCTCCCCACCTGCCCCTGTAGCCCCTGGCAAAGGACGCCCCATCCAGCAGCAGCAGCGCCGACGGCGCCGGCCCATTCGCCGGCCAAAGAGAGCCTCCGGATCATCCTGCAGCCGTGAGGAGGAGGAGGAAGAAGAGGAGGAGGAGGATCTCATCGATGGCTTTGCTATCGCCAGCTTTGTCAGCCTTGAGGCACTTGAGGTGAGGCAGCTCCCATGATCTCTGGCGACATAGTGTCAACAAACAGTCTGGAGTCTGAGTTGAGGGAGCTTTTGATTTTGGGGTTCCTCAGCACTGTGGTGTAACAAGGAAGGAAAAATAGATCCAGTCATATCTGTGGCTTAAAGTTGAGCGCAGATAGCAGATAAGTTTCCCTGGACTCCACAGGAGAAAGTGAGCTATGACCAAGTACATTGGGGAGAGGGAATGAAGCCTTTTGAGGAGCCAGCATGGTATAGTGGTTTGAATGTTGGACTCTAACTCTGGAGACCAGGGTTTGAATTCCAGCTCTGCCATGGAAACCTTCCGGGTGACCTTGGGCATGTCACACTCTCTTGGCCTCAGAGGCTGGCCATGGCAAAACCCCTCTGAAAAAACTTGCCAGGAAAACCCCATGGTAGATTCACCTTAGGGTCGCCATAAGTTGGAAATGACTTGGAGGCACACTACAACAAAGAACAATACACTTTAATGTAGTGGTACTTCTTAAACCATAGGACTGGGAAGCCAAGAAACAGCAGTGAATGGTGGTGGGCGCAGAAGCCAAAATGCTCCTCTCCAGATGCAGTTGGACTATAACTTCCATCAACCCTAACGAGTAAAGCTAATGGTGAGGGATGGTGGGAGTTGCCTTTCAACAACATCTTGAGTCTGAATGTTCAGCATTTGTGGTTTGGGGTATCTGGTAGAGCAGATATGCATGTTGTTTGTTGGCTTGGGAAGCAACTGAAAGCCCTGTGTAAGAGAGAGGATTTAAAACTGTTGGTGTTCAAGTCAGATAATGGAAGACAAAGGCAGACTGGGATTTGGAACTTCTTCTTGGCCTAGATACAGAATCCATTGAGGTACCAAAGGTAGCAAGGCTATAAAAACCTCTGGTTCTCACATTCTAAGAGATGGTCACCAAAAGAAGATGATGCTTCTTTGGCTTTTGTATTGACAGTCAGCAGAAATAGAAAGGCACACAATCTCTGACATTGAAACTTATTGACCTGTGAGAGGAAAGGAGCAGATACTTGGCTTTCTGGGACAAAAGATAGCCCTGTGTGAGAAGAATCAGAGCAGTCTCTTGCTCCTGAAAGATAAAAAGGATGGATTTTATCAACTTGTGTGTGTTTCCCTAGACCACTGCTAAAGCTGCCACTTGGTTTGGGTAAGGGCCTGGGTTAAACCCCTGGTATTGCCGGTCAAATGGACTCATGATCTGATTCCATGTGGGCATCCTTTTATATTTTGGCCTGATAGTATCAGATCAATATGTGGGGTACAATGGTGTAACATAAGAGATAAAGCAGTGGACATTTATTTCCTCTTTCCCAGAGTGAGACTGCCATCTGTTTCCTGTGCCTGATAGAATGGAATTTGATCTAGGGCTGGGATATGACCCAGTAGATAATGTCTGGTTTGGCAGGTGTGAAATCACTGGACTGTGGTGGGTGGATGCCATGCAAGGCACAGCTGTTTCACCTGCTGAGACAGCAAAAGGAAGTTCTGCTTCACTCAGGAGCACTCTGGGCTGAGCTTGTAGACCAGTTCAGTACTGGCTGCACCTGTCTTTCTGGCTTGGCAGGACTGGGTGAGGAGCAGGGCGTGGACCTTGATGTCTTCACCAGTCTCTGAAAGAATCCAGTGTGCAAATGGAGAACAACTTAATGCCCAGCAAAGAGAGAATCCCAGAGTTGAGAATGACTAATAATGCCTGGGCTCAGAAGATCGGTTGCGTTTTTTAACCTGCATAAGGAGATCAACAGTGTGTGCAGTTCTTTTCTCTCTGCTCTCCCACATTTATCCTGTGGGGTAGATTAGGCCGAGAGAATTGGGTGGCCCAAGATCGCCCATTGATTAGAACTGGGCTCACTGGAGATTTGACTGGAGGCAGATTTAAATCTAAGTCTCTTAGGCAGTGGCATCACGGGGGGG